TCAAAGCACAACATGATTGCAAAGAGTGGATCTTCTTTATGGAACAAAGTCCCGTGCAAGTCTATGACGATTCGAGTTTAACTACAGTAAGGCAGCCAGTGTTTGGAGCACAACAAAGTCAGAAGGATTAGTTTAGACTAAGTTTTATGGAACAGTTCACATTAAATGACGATCTTGTCAAATTATGGTACATTGTGTATATTATGTAAAGTATTATGTAATTTAAATAAAGTCTCTCATACATTTTAATACTGTCTTGTATGTTTGTTTTTGTGAGAGTGAATCCTGAAAAATATGCAAATTAGTATGCAAATTAGCATGCAAATTAGACCGCCATGCTTGCCTCTGAGCCTGGGGAGAACACTGTACATTGATGCTGGAAGTCACCATATTTGTTCTCAAATAACAAGAAGTCGAAAATATCACTTACGGTGATAAATCAGGATTCACAAGTGCAACGAATTTACACAACATTTTACCATGAAATCAAACCTACTAACTTCATATCTTCAACCACAGGTGATAGAGGGACTGTGCTTCAACACTGCCATGGTTTTGACGATGATGAATCTCACATTCATTATTTTCTTGACTGGGCCCACAAAGGGTTCAAAGTACCGTGGCTTGTGTGCATAGACTGTGTGTCGGGGTTAGTATCACACGGACAGGCAATGTCCATACTCGCAATGTCATTTAGTCCGCCTGATCAACGCAGGGCTATTACTTCCGGTATGATCATCTCTCGGAACACCCGCTGGTGCATGGGGGCATCGTGCTTTTTGATTTGGGGGATTTCTCTACAAAACAAAGACGTAATTTGAATCACATTTCATTCGACTCATACAACAATATACTTACTTTGAAGTTCCTTTCTTTCCTTTCGATGTCTTTGTTCAAGAATTTCTTTATTATTCAAGCCATCACCGGCACTGGCCATGCTGTATAGCGAGTTATCTGGGCATGCCCGGTGACCTTTGACACAGTAACATACACTTCCTGTATATATTTCATGCTTTTGAGACACTGGTGAAACAATTTGCTAGCGACACATATAGAAGGGAATTTTTTTTTCACCATGGTGAGTTTTTACATGTCTTGTATAAGACACTGTGCTGACTTTGGTTAATGGTTTGTGCTGAAAGGCCATCTTTGTTTCATTCTATTTGTTTGTGCCAGACTTGTAATTCAACGATGAGGGATAACAGATAAGAAAACTGAGGGGGTGGGTTTGTTTCCATACGATTTTTTTAAAATTTGTATCTGCTTGACGATATATTTACACTCTCTCGTGTTACACATTATACATCTATTGTGCTCTCGTGGTGCTCTACTCTTCAACCACGATCTCCCGTCCTGTTTGCAATGTTTTGTGGGGTTTTCTGGATATTTAGCTCACAAAAAATGTTAGCTGACAAAAAACTGTGTAAAACATAATTTATGTCATAATTCATTTGATTGACGATAGTGGTTATTATTAATTAAATTCAACACTTTTAAATTAAAATAATTAACATTTTGAATAATACCCATGTCCACCATTTTACACAGCTGCAGGCTGTTCAACACTTCTCTGTCAGCTTTACCCATGCAGGGCTGGGACTTACATAAAGGGTACCCATTCTCAAAAAATTCTATAGCGTTTATAGGAATAATTAAGACTGGCAATAATGATGGGAACCAAGGCAAATTGGTTTGGATCCAAGCATTTGATGCCTTTGCAAGTTCAAACCAAGACTAGCCCAGCTGTGACTATTTTATCATTTTTTTCATTTCTTTTCAATCTTACCATGACTGGGTGATTGTGAGGATAAAATGCTACTCAGTATTTCTAACCATTGGTTAATTTCTGTAGGGATAACATTTTCTCATATTCCATATTGGTG